CGCGGTCGCCCATACCCCCTACCGGGGGCCCCCCCTCTGCGTCAGCCCGCGCCCAGATAGGCCTCAGGGTGATGAAAACTCTCCCCGGACTCAATAGCTGGGTCTGGGGGACCCAAAGAAACCTCACTGGCCCCTGCCTTTCAAGACCTGGAGACACAGCCCGGAGGGTCCCCTAGCCCCGACCCCCCAGGTTCCCTGGAGACCCAGATAACGCGCTGCTGACCTTATCAGGGACCCGGGTCTGGGGGACGCAGATAAGCTGCACCTGCTCCCTCCCCTCAGACACGCCTACCCTGACCCACATAATTCCCTTTCCCGCTCTAAATAGTCCACTTTTTTACCTTCTGTTTCATTTTCCAGAACCATATAACCCCTTTTGAAGCTTCCCTCGAATACCTAGTTCTGGAGAACCCAAATAAGCCCTACGAACCCAAATAAGCCCTACCTACATTTCCCTCCGTAGTGAACATTCTCCCTAAGCGGTAGACATCCTTCATCCGGATACCCATTTTGAGACTCTTGAAATTAGGGGAATTCACTTGTGACTGTCAACTCCTGGAACCCTCCAGCCCTTATAATCCCTCAACCTCTTTTTGGGAGGAGGGGGTTCCTCAGTTAGCTTGCTCATGATTCTGTACCATATTTGCCCTTCCTTCCCTGAGACCGCCTTCAGACTTCTCCCTGGATTTCTGTCGCTTCTGGAAGCCGTCTCCTCCCATCTCTCCCACACCCAGGGGAATTTAACCTTTCCCCATCATACAGTGGAGTGGTTTAGAAGCTGCTGGAGGAACCAGGCTATTCCCTGCAAATCCAGTCCCGCGCTATGGGCCAGCTTGGTTGGGGAAAGGGATCTGTAAGGGACCTGTAAGGTGGAAGATAAGAGGACAATTGGTGTGGGGGAGTTGTTAGTGCTTTCACTTGCCAGTGTAGCTTGTCTCCTGGCTTGTGTGTTCTTCCACCTGTCAGCTTGGGGCTGTGATAGTCTGCCCTTGGGTTTCAAATCCCCACTCCCACCCCCACACACACCCAAGGTGAGGCCATTAGATTGGGGTAGGGGGGTGTCCTCTTCATGAAAATGGGGTTGTAGTGAGTTGCAGCCATTTGCTTAAGGCTTCTTCAGGAGTAGGAGGCAGCGGGAATCAGAGGAAATAGGGAATCAAAGAAACCCCAGAGAGGGCTCATCTATACTGATAGAAGTAGCAGCCTGAGAGTAAACCCAGCCCTTGTTAATCCAGTTTGATGTCTCTTGGAATGATGCAAGTCATTGAGACTCTCTAGCCGTCCTGTAATTTAATTCTCCCACCACTCTGGAGTGTGTGTGAGTGAGGGGAGCAGCTAGTCTCATTCTCCCCTTTCCTTCTCACTGTTTTCCAGCCAGTCAGTTTATCTTTTGGATTTGTTTCTGATGCCCAGGTCAGATCGTGGTTTTTTTTTCCCTTTAAGTTTATTTATAATTTCTCAGTTGCTATTTTGAGTTCTGCTTAAGGGAAGATTCTGTCCGCCCCAAGGAACGTTCCAGGGTGTTTCCTCCTCGGCAGGTGTTGAATTGAGTTCTTCAGATCCCCAAGTAGCTCTTGGGCAGGAGGGATAAAAGCTATTTTAGGGTAGTCACTGAAGTGGAGCTGTTAATCCTCTGTGGGTCTCTCTCGTTAAGAACACTTAGAGATTAACCCTTTCCTTGCTGCAGGGGGGGGGTGTTTCTCAACAGTTTTTTGGGAGGGTTGGGCGAATTCAAGTGTGGCAGCAGAAGGTGGGAACATGCAACTCAATACAATGGTGAAGATAATAGCTGCCTTTTGTTGTGTATTCACATCAAGCCGAGCCCTATGCTGAGCTCTTTGCATACCTAACTAAAATAATCCTTAAAACAAGCCTGTGAGGTAAGTATTTTTAGTTTACAGATGAGGAAACAGGCTAATAATGGAGAAAGAATGCAGTTTCTATAGAGATGATGTAACACCATAAAAACTATAGTTTCATCAGAGGGCAGCAGGCATCATGGCTCACAACAGAGGAAAGACAGACTAGGGAGCAATTTGTCTCTTTTCAGCTTCCACAGTGAAGGTTGGCCATACAGAGTTTTTTAGCAAGCATTTGTACTTGGGGGTACAGAGCATTAATAGAAGAGATTTCCTAAAGTGAGAGAACTCTGGCCCACGATATGGTGTTGGAGGAAGGTAAAGTGAAGGAAGGGGACGCTTAGAGGGGTTGTGCTGAAGGTTAATTGTGACGGTAAAGGGGAAGGCTGCATTTCTGGGGAGATGTTGGGAAGGGAAGGAAACCCACTCTGAGGTCTGAGAAGTAACATTAAAGGGTGGGGGAGGGGTGGGGCGCAGGGAGAAGTACTACTCAGGCTCCGAGTGGAAAAGAGGCAGACACGATTTAGACCTCAGAGACAGCACTGTGTGTATTCATACATTTTATATGTCAGATGCTTTCAAGAGTGTTTTTTCATTTAATCCTCCATGAGAATATTATAGGTAAGGAGAATAAATCTCTATTTTAGAAATTGAGGAAACTGAGGTTCAGAGAAACCAAATAGCCTGCTCATAGTTTCACAGCCAGAAAGAGGCAGGCAGCTCTTCTGATGGCAAGTTCTTTCCATGCTACCTCCCTCTTCAGATCAGGCTCCAGAAGGAATCTTAGGATGAAAATATACCAAATTATACCAGTAACTGGGGGGGATTGATTGTGTTTGTTTTATGGAAACAGGTTCTGACAGCTTCTCTATAGTTGTTAAGGTTAGCATGTGAGACCAGAAGAGCAGCTTTGAGAGAGAAGCAGAATTCTCTGACGGTTTTGCTAAGGAAGACGTCTGAAGGAATAGGTCTGATAATGTGAGAGAAGCCCAGGAATCTTTCTGGATGAGAGGAGTTTGCAGACAAAGGACAGAGGAAGAGAGTGGATTCCCAAAAGGGTCCCTAAGGTAACACTAGCAGCTTTGGTTATCTAGCAGCCTTTCAGTGACTTTAGGTAAGGATTTCCACTGTGCCTTTTTTAAAGCATAGGGGGAATAGGATCAGAGTGTTGGCTGTTTTCTTTTAAAGCCATAGCCGCATTAAATACAGATCAAGGCAAGCACATGGCTGCTGCCTTCCCTGTTTCTATCAGTACAACCTCGTGAGCTCTTCTTAGCCACCACCAGCCTATTTCCTAGAAGCCCATTACTCACTCTTTCAGTAGTAGCATTCTAAATTGCTGTGTCTTGTTTGTGCTTGTTCAGGAGAACAGATGAGGTGGACGTGTGGGAGTTAGGGGACGTACTATTCTCTTTCTGAGTTTGTGTGGAATTTCCAGGGCTAGGCTCCCCTCTCACATCAGCCAGAGTGATGCGACTTGCTTCTCTCTGGCTGCCATTCCCAACTTTCCAGAGGCTGAAGTGCATGATTTCAGATATCAAGGGGGAGCAGAATTTGACTTTGAAGGTAGGAGAAATTCAGTCCAAACTAGATGTGCAAATTAACGCTCGGTGTGTACCCAACTCCAAGATGCATAGTAATAGTTGATATTATAAACAGGTAATTCCACCTGTGAGAAGAAGGAGGAGACTTAAACAATGAAAGCCAGATGGCAGAAACCTTTGAGGTTTATAGTGAAGCAGGTAAATATGCCATGACTTCAAGGCTCAAGTGGGACTAGCTTTTAGTGCTACCTACGCCTCCCCCGCACGTGACTCATGCAAAATGCAGCCACCTTTGTGCAGATCTTTCTAGGCAAATCTCCACTCGTGATGGGGAAATGTTTATATCATGTTACATTGCAATGTTTCTTCAACAAGAGGAATGGTTCCTGAACAGGACATAGCTCATGTTAATGATGAGCAAAGCTCTCTGGGGCATGAACCCGCTGATCCCATCATCTCGTTCACGGCCAGCCTGTTGGATGAATGGTCACTGTAAGCAGCAGGTGCTAATGAGCTGAGCAAGCATTCTGTGGCCCACAGCTAGTTTGTGTGGTTGGAGCCCTCCCCAGATTCTCGTGGACAATCCCCAGATACCCCCTTTGCTCCCTTCACATGGAAAAGCCTCATGACCATATTTTGGCCTGACCTCTTCAAAGGGAATCCCCATCGTAGAGAGTTCTGTTGTAGTTGGTAATCTGTGATGAGCTTGTGAGTGTGAATATCGGTCCGTTGTCCCCCTTTTGAGAGACCATACTGTAACTCCCATCCTTTCCTCTCTGAGTTGATGTCAGGAAAGAAGTTGTGTCACCTTGCTTCAGCCCCCTAACCCCTTCTACTCAAGAGAAAGGATCAGACTTCATGATAATGGCTCCACATTTGTGAAGGATTGTAAAGCAAGTTTAAACCAGAATTTTCTGAGCATAAGTTAAGCCTATGAGAATCAACTTGAATTCAGTGACTAATTTACTCAACTAAAAGAAAGTTGAGGGTCCTTTTCTAGGTATATGGAGATGAAAGATGATTTTGAGCTCTCAGTTATCAGTTTGGTGGAGACTAAGTTCTAATGCAAGTACTTACCTGTTTGTAATGGAGAAATGCATGTGCACTATGAGGATCTGTAGAAGGGGCCAGCCTGCACCTGGAGTATTGGATAAGCTTTGCTAAAGAAGCATGGTCTGGGCCCAAGACCAAGAGACCCAGAGAGGTGGTAGAGGGTAGGATGGAACCTGTACTGGTTTAGGGGAAATGCTGACTGTGGCGTTGCCTCCTCAGCAGAACCTCTTGATGTTGATGCGCTGCTGAGAAATACATCTGGCACAGGGGCTGACTTTCGAGGGTGTAAATTTCCTAAGTAAAAGCTTTTCCTCCCTTCTCGTCTGTTGCCTTTTGGGCATTTTATTACTCCTTAACACCTCCATGAGGAGAATTGTGGAAAGTAGTGAGTGAAGGGGAGTTAGGGTAAAGAGGAGAAAGAGAAAGAGGAGGTGGAGGAGGAGGGGCTGCTCTCTCTGAGTTTAGAGGAAAGTATGTAAAAGAGAAGTCAGAAGAGAAAGTTTGGAGTTTAGGGTTTTTACTTCCTCAGATTATTTTGTTTCCTATTAGCCTAGGTGGTACTAGTAATAAAAGTTATCACAAAGCACTTATTAGGTGCCCAGCCTTCTGCTGAGTGCCTTATATTCATTATCTCATTTAATCCTCAAAACATGCTTATGATTCAGGAGATTATTAAGTCTTTTGTAAATGAGGAAACACTTCATGGAAATAAGTAATTGGCTGAAAGTCACATGGCTTCAAATTGGAAGGGCTGGGATTGGAATGGGGATCTGTCTGCCTCTACAGCCCATGTTTTCATGGTATTGGGCTCTCTAACACCTGGTATTCTGATGTTTCAGGTGAAGAGATTGTTTTCTGAAGGCTGCGTTGGAGACTGTGACAGAGCAGACAGCCCATGTGGAACCGATGGGGAGGCTTTCTGAATAACATGGCCCTTCGCCATTAGCCTTGCCATGACCACATTTTTCACCAGCGTCCCCCCCTGGATTCAAGATGCAAAGCAGGAGGAGGAAGTGGGCTGGAAACTAGTTCCCAGGCCTCGGGGCCGGGAGGTGGAGAGTCAAGTGAAGTGCCAATGCGAAATCTCGGGGACACCCTTCTCAAATGGAGAGAAGCTGAGGCCTCACAGCCTTCCCCATCCAGAGCAGAGACCATATAGCTGCCCTCAGCTACACTGTGGCAAGGCTTTTGCCTCCAAGTACAAGCTGTATAGGTAGGTGACATTCCCATGCCTCTTCCTGCCTTAGGTTCCCAGAGAACAGAGCCAGAGAGACTCCACTGAGTGTGGCAAAAGAGTAGAGGTTAATTTGTCCCCTAAGCGTGTTCTGAATGACAACCATTTGAGGTCTCTCACTAAAAAATAATAGTATTTTTTTATTCAAACACTAGAATGTGATGGGTATAATATCAGACAGCCATGAAAAATGAGATTGAACATTTTTTTCAATAGTATTTTCCCCACTCCTATCAGGTAATGGTGAGAATCTTAGCCAGAAATTAAGAATCCATCTTAGAACTTGAGAAGGAAAAGGAGACCCTGCAGTCCAATCTGTAAATTTTTTAAAGTGGAGGCTCAGAGTGGGGAAGTAACTTTACCCGAAGTCACATAGCTTCTTAGGTCCTACAGTGCCTCTTCTACTGAACCATCCTGCCACTCAAATGATTACTTCAGTGTCTGTAGAGTCCCTGGTGTCCTCTGGGTCAGTGGCTTTCCTGAAACTTGTAAGCCCAAGAACCTCTGCTAAAATAAAATGAAATGCGAAAGCCCTAGTATAAAGCAGATACAGCAGAGCAGCTTTGAAGGGAGAAAGGCCTGCTTGGAAGCAATTTTGAATTAATCCTTGCCTTTCCATCAGAGAAACATGAATATGCTCTTTACAAATGAGACAGACTGCCTGATGCATAATATTTCATCTATTCATCTGTCAAACTGGTTTATTGAGCTCCTGCATACCAGGCACAGGTAGATGGGAGTGCTCGCCCTCCTTGAGTTTATTATCTTAATAGTGTGGACAGGCAGCAAACAAGTAAATACATGAACAAGTTGACCACAGAAAGCCTCAGTTCCTTGTCTTAAAAACAGTTGATAGGAAGGAACTAAAATAGGTAACAGGGTCATATGTGACCAGGATTGGCCTCGTGACAGTTCTGTGGTCCTCAGGAATTCTTTGATTCCATGTGCTTCATGTGACTTGGATGGACTCCAGTTGGGGCTGTCTTCTTAGACTATCTTAGTGACAGTCTGGATGTCAGTGGGAGGCAGCAGGAAAGGTCCTAGTCCAGTAGGCAGGAGCCCCAGCTCTACCCATAGACACTGTGTGATTTTAGGTGAGTTACTAAACCTCTGGGCTTTAGTTTCCTTACCTGTAAAATGAGGGTAGTGGATTACTCAGCACCTCCCTCTCATACATTATCATGTCAGTTATGTCACAGGAGGTCAATGGTAACCCTCATAGGTGTGAGCACTCAAACATAGCATGGAGGTATTGGGGACGTTTGATGCCCTTCAGGTAGAAAAGATCACTGGGTGCTATACTAGAGACAGTGGTGGCATACTTAAGTGAACCCACTTCTCAAGGTCTGTGTTTAAATTCAGCCTGTGCCACTTACTGACAGTGGAGTAGGACTACCCTGCACTTCAGCCTCTTAGAGGACGAGGTTAATGACACAGCTCACACAGGGCCTGGTATGATGGGCCTTTGAAGTCTTGCTGAGTTTATTCTGAATGTATTTGGAGCTCCGGATTGTAATTTCTAGATTCTGAGCTGCTTTCTGGCTATCCCGATGAGAGCAAGTAAACTAAAGGACACTGAGGTGCCATACCGTGAAAACATTTTTTAAATGTTGCAGGTTTGCCTGGCAAACAGTTTAAATGGTACAGTGGGCATACAGTGAAAAATGAATTGTTCTCACACTTGAAGCCACTGTTCTCCCCAGAGGCAACTGGGAGGTCAGTTTCCTGTGTGTCCTTGCTGAAACATTCAAACACGTATTCTCTTTTTTCCAAGGGATTATATTATTTATACACACTATACAGAACTTCCTTTTTTGACTCAGCTCCCTATATCTTGGAAGATTGTTCTAGATCAGAAAGTTTAGATATATTTTGTTTTCCCTTTATTGTGTCATTTAAAATTTTGTAAATGTAATTTCTTGAAAAAGAAATGTGTTCACATAATTTAAAATTTAAAAGGTACCATAAGGTATACAATGAAAATCCTCCATCACACTGCATATTTCTTCTCCCCATAGGCAGCTAGTGTTGTCAGTTTCTTATATATCCTTTTAGAAACACTTTAAGCACATACAAGCAAACTGACATGTATTTCCCTCTTTTCATATGCATAGTCACATTCTGAATGCACTATTCTGTCTCACTGCTTTCTTCCACTTACTGTATCTTAAGAGCTTGTTCCCTGTGGGTACATAGAAAGTTGCCTTATTTTTTTAAAAAGTTGAGTCATTTTACAGACTTACCATAATTTATTTAACCATTACCCTATTGATGGGCATTTAGATTGTTCCTGGTTTTGCTACTATATACAGTGGTGCAAAGAATAGCAGTACTTATGTGATTCTGCAGGTGGATGAGGACATCTATAGAATATAGTTGGCGTGGTAATCTATTCCATTGCATGGCCTTACCATAATTTTTATGTCTAGCTCCCTTTTAATGGATACCTCAGTTGTCTGGCCAGCCCTTGTGATCTCCTCTCTTTCTCCTCTGCCCTCCATCCCTACCCCAGGCACATGGCCACCCATTCAGCCCAAAAACCCCACCAGTGCATGTACTGTGATAAGATGTTTCACCGCAAAGACCATCTCCGGAACCACCTGCAGACCCACGACCCCAACAAAGAGGCCCTCCACTGTTCCGAGTGTGGTAAGAATTACAATACAAAGCTGGGCTACCGGCGCCATCTGGCCATGCATGCTGCCAGCAGTGGTGACCTCAGCTGCAAGGTGTGCCTGCAGACCTTTGAGAGTACCCAGGCCCTGCTAGAGCACCTGAAGGCCCACTCACGCCGGGTAGCAGGAGGTGCCAAGGAGAAAAAGCACCCCTGTGACCACTGTGACCGGCGTTTCTATACTCGTAAAGATGTGCGGCGGCACCTGGTGGTGCACACGGGCCGGAAGGACTTCCTGTGCCAGTACTGTGCCCAGAGGTTTGGCCGTAAGGATCATCTGACACGGCATGTCAAGAAGAGCCACTCACAGGAGCTGCTCAAGATCAAGACAGAGCCAGTGGACATGTTAGGCCTACTCAGCTGCAGCTCCACAGTCAGTGTGAAGGAGGAGCTAAGCCCTGTGCTGTGCATGGCCTCTCGGGACATGATGGGGGCCAAGGCCTTCCCTAGCATGTTACCCATGGGTATGTATGGTGCCCACATCCCTACCATGCCCAGTGCGGGCGTCCCACACTCCTTGGTGCACAATACGCTGCCCCTCAGTTGTCTGGCCAGCCCTTGTGATCTCTCTTTCTCCTCTGCCCTCCATCCCTACCCCAGGCACATGGCCACCCATTCAGCCCAAAAACCCCACCAGTGCATGTACTGTGATAAGATGTTTCACCGCAAAGACCATCTCCGGAACCACCTGCAGACCCACGACCCCAACAAAGAGGCCCTCCACTGTTCCGAGTGTGGTAAGAATTACAATACAAAGCTGGGCTACCGGCGCCATCTGGCCATGCATGCTGCCAGCAGTGGTGACCTCAGCTGCAAGGTGTGCCTGCAGACCTTTGAGAGTACCCAGGCCCTGCTAGAGCACCTGAAGGCCCACTCACGCCGGGTAGCAGGAGGTGCCAAGGAGAAAAAGCACCCCTGTGACCACTGTGACCGGCGTTTCTATACTCGTAAAGATGTACGGCGGCACCTGGTGGTGCACACGGGCCGGAAGGACTTCCTGTGCCAGTACTGTGCCCAGAGGTTTGGCCGTAAGGATCATCTGACACGGCATGTCAAGAAGAGCCACTCACAGGAGCTGCTCAAGATCAAGACAGAGCCAGTGGACATGTTAGGCCTACTCAGCTGCAGCTCCACAGTCAGTGTGAAGGAGGAGCTAAGCCCTGTGCTGTGCATGGCCTCTCGGGACATGATGGGGGCCAAGGCCTTCCCTAGCATGTTACCCATGGGTATGTATGGTGCCCACATCCCTACCATGCCCAGTGCGGGCGTCCCACACTCCTTGGTGCACAATACGCTGCCCATGGGTATGAGCTACCCTCTGGAATCCTCACCTATCTCTTCTCCAGCTCAGCTTCCTCCAAAATACCAACTTGGATCTACCTCATACTTGCCCGACAAATTGCCCAAAGTGGAGGTGGATAGTTTTCTGGCGGAGCTTCCAGGAAGCCTGTCTCTCTCATCCGCTGAACCTCAGCCCGCCTCACCTCAGCCGGCGGCAGCTGCGGCCCTCCTGGATGAAGCACTGCTCACCAAGAGCCCCGCCAACCTCTCTGAGGCCCTCTGCGCTGCTAATGTGGACTTCTCCCACTTACTGGGCTTTCTTCCACTCAACCTGCCCTCGTGTAACCCGTCTGGGGCCACAGGAGGCTTGGTTATGGGCTACTCCCAGGCCGAGGCACAGCCCCTGCTCACCACATTGCAAGCTCAGCCTCAAGATTCCCCAGGAGCTGGGGGACCGCTGAACTTTGGGCCTCTGCACTCCTTGCCTCCTGTTTTCACCTCTGGCCTGAGCACCACCACCCTGCCTCGTTTCCACCAGGCATTCCAGTAGCCCCCAAGGAAAGCCTCAGCTCAGTCTTGGACTCTGTCAGGGAGCCTCAGTACGCATCCTATCTGCATCCTCCATGAAGGCAGCTGAGCTTTCAGAGCTGGGTTCAAACAGAAAAAAATCCAGTATGTTTATGGAGCACTTGGTTTGGGGGTTCAGGCTCCAGGATCAGTTCCAGGAGGAACCTTGAGTCCCAACCCATTGAAAAGCTTGCATACTATAGGACTTCAGGTATTTTTACTTTTTTTTTTTTTTTTTTCTTCTTTTTCAATCTGAATCGGGAGCCACACTTAGCCCTCTCCTTCTCTGAAGTGTCAGAACCTCCTTCTCTTTGGAGAAGGGGAAGACCTGTTGGAGACACAGAGGTTTCACTTTGGATGACCTTGAGAGAAATAGCCCAAGAAGCCCGCCTTCTGGTCCCAATTTGCAGACCACACAGCAGTTGGTCAGGCCCTGCTGCAGAGGGTCACTTGGCTCCATCACCTGCTCCAGCTAATGGGCAGGAAAGAGAGAGGGCCTCTGTTCTTCCCCACCACCCCCATCCCTCCTGTTCCAGCAGCTCCATTTTCAGTCAGTGTTGTCCAGCAACGGTACCGTTTACACAGTCGCTTCAGACACACCATTTCACCTCCCTTGCCGAGCTGTTAGCCTTAGGATGATTGCAGTGAACATTGTTTACACACCGTGAATTCATTCCCATCAGTCCATTCCAGTTGGCACCAGCTGGAACCATTTGGTACCTGGTGTTAACTGGAGCCCTGTTTACAAGGCGGAGTCAGGTGTCACTGACTTCTCTTCACTTGAGGTCACATTTTTCCCCTGTGGGGAAATAAACTGACTTTGGACTGCTTCATTCTCTGCCATCTTCCATGACTGTGTCTGTTCCTGCCTTCCTCAGCAGTGTCCGCAGGAGACAGGCAAGAAGATTGGAGCGGTTTTCTCACAGGTCTGCAATTCTGTTTTTCTCCAAGTATACATCATGATCCCCTCATCCTCCTTTTGAACTGGAAAGGGGAAGAAATGGAAGGCATGCCCACTTCCATCACCTCCCCATTTCCTAACCCCCACCCCGAACATCATGAGCTGTTATCATTAGTCTTAGAAGGAGGGTCTTGGGTTCTAGGCTGGTGTGAAGAGCAAAGGAGAGAGTGTGAACCCCTCATTTGTGTCTCTCCTACCTGTCCCTTTGCCAGGAAGTTGTAGAATTGTTGGAAGAAGAGTTTTCAGAAAGTTGGGACTGGGCAGATAGTTGAGTCCTAATCTATGGGTGCAGGTGCATCATTGCCTCTTACACCAACTTTTCTTATCCTCAGTGTCCTTTCTCTCTCCTCCACTTGCAGTTCCCTTGGACTCAGGGCCAATGTGCATAGGCTTCTCTGGCTCTCCATCATAGAACCTTCCTCAGTTTTGCTCCCAATACTTGGCAAGATTTCTTGTAACAAATAATTACTTCTGACCGTGGGGCTCTCTGCCACAGACAGCACAGCCCTTGCCCAGCCACACCCCATCCCTGCTTCATCTCACTTCTGCATGGGCACTCTTCCCACTCATGGAAGGGAGGCAGCTCAGGAACCACCAATGTGGTACCCTTTTGAGACACCTCTACTCTGATTCAGAAACACACTTCTACCTCTTCTAACTCCTACAGATGCAGCCAGCAGTTTCTGGGCACTTCTCAGCAGGTGCCTCATGCTGGCTTCTCCACTAGGGTTTCAGGACAAACTACCCAGGAACTGCCTCAGCCTCCTCCCAGTTCTCCCTCTTTTCCCCTTCCATCTAGAAATCACTTTCGTCTATCATCAGTAACAGCAGGTCCAAGACTCAGGCTTCTGCTTCAGCCCAGGCCGGTACTCTGAGGTGAAAGCCCTAATGTAGCTCCCTAGCCTTTGATTGGAAGCAATGTGGAGTGAATAAGCATGTTTTGATTCAAGCAGGGTAGCTTGGGATACCTTAAAAACCACATAAAAATGTATGGCAAGATTAGAATCTGATGAGGTGATTTGCTCTAAAAATTAGTTTCAGTGAGTCCCAGGGACTGATTAAGGTTTATATTTAAAAGGGTCCACCTTGATATGCAGCCACCACTTGCATGCTGTGCATGCTACTGGGACTCGTATTACAGGAAATGGTATTTGAGGATCCAAGCAGGACTCAGTGCTGCCTTCTCCTTGTCTCTGGTCTTCATCACTAGACCCAGCAACCCTTCACCCACTTCCTGCCACCTTCCCTTCACAGAGGCAAATAATGGGCCTCTGGCCACAATATAGTTTCAGGCTGTTAGAGTGAGTCTCCTCTCTGCCTGCTTTTTCTTCTTGTTCCTTGAATCCTCCCCCCCATTGATGCTGGTGAACTTAGAGGACAGGCAAAGCAATTGTTTAAAACCTTGTAACTGGGACCTTCTCCCTCCTTCCCTCCCCTTCCTGCCACCTTCCCTTCACAGAGGCAAATAATGGGCCTCTGGCCACAATATAGTTTCAGGCTGTTAGAGTGAGTCTCCTCCTCTCTGCCTGCTTTTTCTTGTTCCTTGAATCCTCTCCCCCATTAGTGATGCTGGGAAACTTAGAGGACAGGCAAAGCAATTGTTTAAAACCTTGTAACTGGGACCTTGTCCCTCCTTCCCTCCCCTTCCTTCCATCCTGCTGCTGCTTTCCTCTTCCTTCAATGCCCTTATCACCTTACAAGGAATTTCCCTATCACTGTGAACTTTGCTAGTGCAGAGAAACATCTACCTTCACCTTTTTTTGGACCATAGCTACCCAACTTTCTTAAACTTCACATAATTAAAAAAAAAAAAAAAAATCCTTATTGGCCTAGTTGTTCAAAGGAAAAGAATAGGTTTATCCTACACTCAGTACCAAACCCACTTCAGTACCCTTACTGAAGCCATGAGAGCCTGAGGGGGTCTGCCCAGGACAGGAGCCATGGCATGTGGCAGAGGCCAAACTGGGACCAGGAAAAAGGGGTGATGTCCCCTTTCTCCCTCACCTCCAACCTCTGTCAACAACAGAACTTCCCCACCCTGCACAGTAGCCAGTCAGGGTTGAGTGCAGTTCTGGGGGCCAGTGGATGACACGCCCAGTTGTGTTAGTGCAAAAGATCTGTGCATATCTTAAAGAGGTAAAAGGTAGGGAAGGGAACACCAGTTGAGTTGTTTTCCCCCCAACCTTTTACAAATGGCATTTTGTTAATGGAAATCCGGGAAGCAGGTGTGATTCCTTTTTTTGCTCGTAGATATTGTCCTAAGTTGAAATTCTCCCACTGCCCAAAACTTTCTCCTAGTAGCCCTTTAAACCCTCCCTTTTTGGTAGCTCTTTTCTCCACCCCTCCCCCTCCCTTCTTATCTAGGAGCCGTTTGTAAGCACGATTTTTTAAAACAGTTTATGTTGTACAGTATCAATATTTTGCTTTTTAACAAGGATATTTATGTAATAAACTTTGCCTTAGGCAGGTGTTGGCCAGAAAAGTCCGGATTCCTCTGGAACCCCACCCTGGCCTCTCCTGGAGCTCTGAACCTGCTGTGGAAGAAATTGGCTGTGACCTTCACCACTGGAGAGTAGGGTCTGTGGCGAGGGAAAGGGGTATCGGTTCTGACAGGAGGAGGACTCACCATGCTAATTTAGTGCCTCTGGAGTGGTTTGGAAAGAGTATCCCAGTCCAGTTTCTTCAGACGTGAGCTGACTTCCTCAGCCGAGTCTCCCCATGTGCACCTCTCCACCTCTGAGTGTTTGGCACTAGAACTCCTAAAACACCACTTCTCATACGCCTCCCTCCCAGTGGTCAAGGCTTTGGAGCCACTCTTTCGTAATGCCAGATTATTTAAAGAGAAAATACAAGACAAAACCTTCTAGCACTTTGTAAACACAGTGAATAACCTCTTGGAGTATTTTTGGCTTTATATAAAACAAGGTTATTATTGTAAAATATAAGTGCCATTAGAAAATGCACAGGGCGTATCTTTGTTAAAGTAGATTTTTTCAATGTTTTACAGAATTACATTTTCAAAAAGTTTTTATAATGAAGTTGTTTATTAAAAACTTCTGAATGATGTATTTGGAAGTTGTGAACCTGTCTGATTGGGAAAGGGTTGGAGAGAGCCTGGGGAAGAATTGGAATCTCCAGATGTCTTTACATCCGAGGGGATGGTGAGTATAGGATAGATAGTAACAACCTACACATTGGCACCTACAAACTGCACTTTGAAATGAAAGATTATATAATGGGATGCCTTTGAGGTAAGTGGCATTGTACCATCTCAGTCTTGGATGCAGAGATCAGAAAAATCAAATTGGCTTAATGAATTTTCATGTAACTGAAAATATCAGATGTAGAACAATCTTTAGGTTAGGATTGATCCAGCAGCTCAAACATGGTTGGTCTTAGCATTCCTCTTTCTCTCTGCCCTGTCTTGTGCAGCTGTGACATCATCTTCAGGCCCTACAGTGACTTGTCCGTTTGTGTAGGAATAGAATGCTGCCATGATTCCAGACCTGTCATTCTCACACAGTGCTGACCAGAAAGAAAGGGAACCATTTTAGGCTCTCAGGAGAGAGGAGTCCATTTATTCACAGAAGCCTCAGTAAGCATCCCTGGTCTCCTTGGCCTTCATGAGGTTCTGTGCCACCCACAAATCTCACTATAAGCCAGTGATGACAAGGCTGAAATGGGGGTTGGGGGGTGGGTGGGGAGTAGCTTTTCAAAGGAATTTTAGGGTACTGAAATTAGGAAGAGTAATGGACGCTGGTTATCCGAGAAAAATGTCATCCACTGCCCAAGGTATCCAGCTGGTAAGTGACTGTGCCCACCCATTGGGTTCAGACAAACTGTTGAGAGGCTGATGTGGCTTCAGCTGACATTGCTTGGCCGGTTTAACAAAGGTAGTCATCACAGTCCTGGGCCCAATCCCTTGTAGTGAGATCCTCCCATCCAGGGCTCAGACTGAGCATGCATTTCTGTGGTCTGGAGCAATGACTAGCCAAGCAGTACAAGCAGCTCTGGAGTCCAACCCGAGTCCACGAGTTCACGGTGCATTAACAAGTGTTAATGTGTGTACAAAAGCAGTGGGCTGGCCCTTCATCTCTTTGGCCATCCATTTACTTGACAGACATTCACTATCTATTCCAATGGGTCAGAACTCTGGCTAAGGCCCCAAGGGAATCAACTTTGCCTTCTAGGGCATACACACTCCAGGATGGGTCTGAGGGCTCAGAGCTATCTTACCCAGTGGGCCAGGGGAGGCTGAAGGCTTTCTGTAGGTGGCAAGGACTTCCAGGCAGAGCTGTGGGGCATTAAGTGCTAGTTTGGAAGCCAAGATCACAGGAGCACAGATGCATTTGTAGGATGAGGGTTGCAGGGGCTGTTCCACACAGGCTCTCATCCAAGTACAGACTCTGCACTTCAGTCTAGAGTTCGCATTTGTGAAATGTCTGGTACAGAACAAGGGGTAGCCCCTGGGCCTAGGACAGTGTCCACCTTTTCAGCCTATCAGTCCAGGAGGAAACCAGGCAGATGCTCCCTAGTCAGCGGCATTCGAGACCTTCCCTTGTCCCAGATCCTTCCACTCTGACCTTGTTTCTTTTCTCCACATGAATATTTTGAGCACCTCTGTGTGCCGGACAATGACCATCAAACTAGCTTCCAGTTTGCGTCTGGTCAGTCTTTGCAAGAGATACCTCTTGAGTCCTCTGCATATGCCTGAGTGATTTATCTTCTGCAAAGCTACAGGTGTCCTACAGCTGCCCCAAAGCAGCAGGCCAGTGTGGGCAACGGGCGACTCCCAACTGCCCATGGCAGACTCAGAGCCCCAGTAATCGCCTGGTTTTGTGGCTGTGATGGAAGGTTCTGTCTGTGACCGAG